GATCTAGGTGACTTCCTTTAAATTTCTCTCGTCACTGGTGATTGATACTTGTTGATGTTGGTTATGTATCTGCCTGTCTTCTTAATATTAATACCAAAGAAAAATTATATGAAACTGAAGTTGGCGTGAAGCCAAACTAAGGATGACATCTGAACTAAGTTTAAAGTGGAATTCAAAGTAAAACTGAAAGTTAGGGAAATGTGAGACAAAGGAAAGAAACAACGGTTCTGTCATACGACTTATTTTGAGTTAAATATGTATGTACATTAGAATGGTTGTTGTAGAATTACAGTGTTGAAATGAATCAGAGATCAGTCGCTTCTACAACTGACAGTCGTGATCTTCAAAATACGTACCGAAATCGGATAATATCATGTGAGATAATGCAGTTGTACAGAATTATTTAGTTAATGATAATGTTTCGCAAAAATATAATTCTCGTTGTTGCGTAACTTACGGACTCTGTTTTTATAGTGCTATTATTTTTTTCTTTTGATCTATTCGGTTTAATATTTCCAATGTCTTCAATTTTCAGTATTGCATCATTCCTGTTGCAGTTGTGTAGTGTAATTACAGTGGAAAAAACATTCGTTGGATACAGTTTCAATCACAGATCGACGTCGTTTAAAGAACCCGTGCAAAACATGTTAGTACTGGACAGCTATTTCGTCGTAGTCTGGGAATCCTCAGTAGTGCTCACTCACCAGGGTTCAAACCCAGGACCTTCCAGTTATTTAGTGAAGTCGTAGACCATTCAGCCATTGCCACCTGGTCTTTTTTGGTCTGAATCTCCCTACACTTACATACATTAACTTTTACAGTCGTAGTCTCAGCTAAGTAGTAATATTTATTTTAGCATTTAATAATCAGATGAACAATTCGAAACAGTTTTCATTGTGCAAGAAGGTTGGCTTTTATCTTCCAAGATGGAGTATGTACAAAAAAACAGTTTAGTTTGTTCATGCTGTTCATGCTGCTGCTAGATACAGATTTTCGAATATCTTCAAGAATTCTCGTTTCTCACTGACAACTCATGCTTTTTTTCTTTTCATGTTAAATTTGATTAACAAGTTAAGTGTAGTATCTTACAAGTATTAAAAACAGCCTATCACTTCCACTCTGTCATCCTATTAAAAAAAAATAGCCCTAACATTTCAAGTAGCTAATATTACTTCACCACTTTACATTGTTATCTACTTCCTGTGCTGAAGGGAACATATTCACAGAAGTATGTTAAGTCTACAACCACTTCATTACTTAATTTTGCATTGGGCTTAATTTTTACATCTTTTCTGTCTTACATCACAACAATCTTTGTACTTGAGAATTATTTTTAACTCTATTGCGAAATAAAACGGGAAATATCAACTAGGAAATTAAATCACCTAATTTATAAATTCCCTCCAAACACTTATTATAAACAAAAGTGGATGCTGAAACAAAATCATGAATAGCAGGCTAAAAATAAAGTAGCTCTATTTGACCACTTTTCATTTTAAATAAATATACTCAGAGGCCTGTCAACACTGTTTTTGTCTCTCATTCCGAAAATGTACTACTATATGTTAAGTGACAGCTACTTAGAGTACTGCAGTCATTTTTGAAATGGTACACAGGTAGGAATAAGTTTTATGGCTTTGGATAGAATTGATAACCCAATGAAACCCAAGCAAAAAGCTGTTCCACTAACACACATCTCAGAGTTGAGGTAAATAAACACACAGAGGAGACAGCAATATATACATCAATTTTTTGTCTACTAACAAATACAGTAGTCATCAATTTTCTGTTACAAAAGCAGCAATACTTCAACCATTTTGTCTAGTAACCATGGTAACCTTGCAAATAAACCACTCACAACTAATTAAAAGATAGATCATTTTCATTTTGTTTCAGTCTGTTTAGCTTAATAGTACAAATGATTCCAATGGTGACCATTTTGCCGATGAAATAATTGACGTATGCAACTAAAGTCAGAGTAGTAATATGAGAGTCAGTTTTCAAAATTTATCATCCTAAATCTTATGGAAATCGTTCTAAAAGATGAAACGGTATTTATATATTTATGTATACAATAAGATGAAATCAAAATTTATCTGCTTCTGTGCATTAAGAAATGTTATCATTGCCGATAAACTACTTTTATTACTATGGGAAAGGTTTTACAACCGACTGGCTAAGGCATACACAAGGACTACAAACAAATATAGCCAACACTAACAAAATAATTATCTATGAATGCAAATATGTATATATTACGTAATGTATCAGTAATCTCTTACTCATATAAAATAATACAATCTCTGTGAAATTACCCATGTTTATTTATTTTAATCTGATATCTTTTTTGTACTGTTTCTTTGCTTTTTTAAGTCAAGCTATTTGGATTATTCCGTTTATTCTAATATGTCGCTTTGATAAGGATATCAAAGTTTATCCTTTTTTTATTTTCCCTAACATTTTCCCTATTTATGGGAGAAAAACCATCTTTATTCAATTTTTGTAATCAGTACATAGGTTTAATTGTATGGTATGATACATTTTTACCAACCATTTCAAAGTAAGTGTACGTGAACACTAATGAAATTTGCATATTTTTGATTGGACACCAGTCAGTAACTAGTGTAATGTGTCTAGTCTTCTGTTTGCTGCAGACTGAATTCCATCAGTCAGGTTTGTAATGTGGCCACCATTCTAGGTAGCTCGCAATCACGGTGTACATTGATTTGATGATATTAGATGGTTAGAGGCAGTCAGTAGGAAGCCTCGGTCCTACCTTTCGTGCTATTTGGCACTCGTCAGTAAGGCGTATCTGCAACTTTGAAGGAATTGATGTTTCTTCTTAGATTCGAACCCTCGTCACCCAGTGAGTTATGCAGTCAGAGACATTACCACTGAGCTAATCAGGCTTGCGTCTGACCTCCTGTAGGACTGTAATGGATATTTTTGATTGGACGCTAGTCAGTAACTAGTGTAATGTGTCTAGTCCTATCTTTGGTGCAGACTGAATTCTATTAGTAGAGCTTGCAGATTAAATTTGCTTATTAAAGTCTCTTCCCGGATGGATACATTAAGAAGTCAACTGTACAAATGACGAATCATAAGAAGCAGATAAATACACCGAAGTTTACGTTGAAAACTCATATATCATTGTTTACATTGTGTAGATTAGTAGCAGAAATATGTGAATAATAATATACAAAAGAAAACAGCTGAGAAAATATTACTGTTCTACAGAGCAGACCAGATCAGACAAAATAAATATGACGTCAGTATAAATATAAACATCTTACTGAATCGATTAGAACTTGTTTCACGATTTGTCTTGTTCTTCAAAAAAGAATCATTTTCAAATGTTGGTTTGTAGGGATTTGATTGGTTGCAGGATTTCATCATGAGCTGACATTGGACAGATGTCCATTACTCCCAGGTTTTCCAATAGTTCTCTAACCAACGTCAGTTCATTATAAAAAATCAATTTCTTTCAGAAGTTTCACTAGTTTGAAACAAGTACGACATACTGTCGTAATTATTTACCATCGTAATGATATGAGAACTTATGAGATTTTGGAAAGACACGTTTAACACAGATCTCGTAGAATTTTCTGTTTACATACTTGTTTAAAACATCAATATTTTAGCAACACTAAGCGGTCCTTATACATACTTTACTTGTAATTCAGTGGTAAGTTTGAATGCCTTTAAATGAAGCTTTGTCAGATCAGATTTTCTGATAAAAATTAAAGAACACTAAACAATATTGCCCTATTTAATATTCGCTTCATCATACCTGTCTAAAGTCAACACTTTCACAGGAAACTCCTACAAGTCATTTGTCTTATTGAAGCTAACACTGAAAATCATGATGCGAGTCTAAAAATCTAGACAGATAGGTATCTTAGTGAGTAATTATTACACCTTTGCAACCTAAATCCATCATTTACATTATTTCAAACGATAGAGAGCTGTTTTCATTGCACTATCTCTCTTTTTCTGTTTGAGAAATGCAGGACAAAGTAAATTGTAAATATCTATTCAAAGCATTGCATGGATTATTTCTAATGCTCAGCATGTGTATAAATTTCTGACATAAATAAAAAGCAGTTTTATTGTACTAATCTTAGAGGGAATAAAATAACTTAATAAAATGTAAGTAGATTTAAGTTTAAAAGCCTAAATTCCCATGATAATTATCATTGTGTTACCGACAGGGGACGTTTTCAGAATGACTGTTGTCGTTTGGTGAAAACAATAGGTATTAAACAAATTAGATATTTCAAATATATACTGCAAAACCATGAAGAGAGAGAGAGAGGGATCTTAGTTTTTGAAACGGTTGTATTTCATGTTCACATTTAAACGATGCAACTTTACTTAATCCGTAATTATGATAAAGTCTATGTTGATTATAGCTGATTAAGTAAAGTTGTAGTGCGTCGGTGGCATAGCGGTTAGGACGCTCGCCGACCATGCACATGGTCCGGGGTTCGATACCCAGCCGACGCACTCCTTTACCTCGCTGAGCCAGAAATAATGCTGGTGAAGAGGAAAGGTTGGGCATGAGGCTAGCAACCCCATCCTGTAAAATAAATACTGCTACAGAAACTTCAAGCCACAATCTTGAAGCCCTATGTTCCACTGGGGAACGTGAAGGAAAAAAGTAAAGTTGTGTTGGTATGATACAGACGATGGGTTCCAACGGAATATTATTCTGACGGTAAGTATCACTGTATGTGTTGGTGTTAACATCTGAATACTATTCCCAAAGTTCACTGGTGCATTAGCAGCAGAATGCTAAGTATATTTGAAGATTCTATTTCGTGTCGTCTAATGTAAACCAAAATCACACGCTAAGAGATTGGTAGGAATATAAACTGTATAGATATAAATAGCTGTTTGATCATCACTTGAGAATATACGTTTGCTTCCATATCTTGCCTTCTGCGGTTACAAAATTATTTCGAAAATGAAAACAAAAACAACTGGATAATTTGACTTACATTCTGTTTCTTCTTCCTACCTGACACTTCTTCATAACCATTTGATATTTTACTTTCAATATGGTGATTAGGTGATCTTGGAAGATATTGAGAAGGGAATAAACTATCTGGTTTATTGTTGGTATTCTTTGGTAATAAAGCATCACCATAAATACTTGGATTCGATAATATAGTTGTTTCAAAGTTATCTCTAAGATTTTCTTCAATAAGAAATAATCGGCTACTATTATTATTATTTCGTTGACAAATATGATAGATAGTATGCAGATAAACTTCAAAAATATTTATGAGATCAATTTTATCATTTGTATACTGTTCATTTTGCTGTTTTCTACTCTGATGTTGTATATGCTGATATTCATTTTTAGCTTTATGTATCAATATTTTATGTACATTTGAAAATTTTATTTTATGATCCAATTTCGGTGATAAATCACCATTGGACGAATGAATAAACTTTGGATATAATTGAGATTTTTTTGGAGTTGCTGGTTTATTTACATTCACTGACTGATTTGATGATTGAGATTTTGTTACTTGACAATTTTCTTCTTCTTCGTGTTGTTTTAATGAATGCATCTTATCAATGTTGAAGACTTTGTTACCGGATTTGATTTCAGATTTACTGTTTGAAAGTTTGTTTGTATACGACTCAAATGGTCCTGTGAAAACTATAAAGAGATTTAGAAAAATAAATAGTTATAACATATACTTTTTTCGAGATGACCTTATCAACTACTTTTTTTCTCAAAATCAGATATGCATCTGAAGGTGCTGTATAAACAAATGTGTTAGGTGGAATGACATTCAAAATTTGCAACTCTGAAAGATAGAATTTCTAAACAATTCTGAACATTGAAGATTTGTAGCTCAGTCAGATATTTTAAGCGTTTATTTTTAGTGAACTGGATGGATTATTGGAGTAGCTTTCAAAGTGAAGGTAGCACTGAAGATGTTTCCTAAAAGAACAACGAAAGTTTCTCAATTCAACCACTCAGGTTGAGTAACACAGCCACGTCGAAATGGGTTCGGTGTGACTGTGTTACCTTGGCGTACATTTCTAAAAATTATGAAGAAATTATCGTTTGGAAATTATTATACATATAGAGTGACTTGGGTGAGAATAGACGGATGGATTGTCAACATTTTTATGCTAAGACCTGAAGCACTACGTGTTTTTTGAAGTCTAAATCACCTATAATGCACTTCTTATTAATTATTCCTTATCAGAAATAGTCATTTTCGAAGGCGATTTATGTTTTTTTTGTTTTAAGTGAAGCATTGTATACTGGGTTGAATTATGCAAACAATTATAGAAGGAAATGCACTGCAGATGGGTGGAGGATAAAGTTGTGAAATGATTAATGATTCTTATGCATCCAGTGTAGTCAGCAAAAACACTGTTTCCTAAGTGTATTCACTTTTAATCAAATCGAAATTTTTTCGGTAGTCCTAACCATAAGTCTATGCGATTCACAATGTATAAAAAGAACGACTGTTAACGTCAATGAAACAGTAGATCATTCGACTAAAATATGCTTGAGAAAAATCGCAATATATCTTTTGAATAAACATAACACTGTCAGAGCGGATTAGTTTTTCTCTTTGTCAAAAGACTATTATCTTCGCCGTGCCCACTAATAGGAATCAAAAATATTCAGGCATTCAAGGTAACACTTGAAAGATGACTGTTTGGGAAAACCTCAGGTCAGCTTGGAATTAAAGGTCGTTCTGAGATTAACTGCGATGTAGATAATGTGAAAAAAGTAGTGTAAACTTAAATGAACACCTACTAAATTATTGGTCAAAATATTCTCATATAATAGAATGCCAATTAAAGCTATTTAGATAAAGCAATAAGAAGACGTAATTTGTCTGAATCGTGTAATGTATTTTCGCAACACATTTCGAACAATCTGATCACACACGGACTTGTCATAGGAATATATATGAAATTAATAAAGAATTGGGAGGTGAGAAAATAGACTTAGGTCAAGTTAAAAGGACATATTCAAGGTCAAAATAACAATGAAGACCACTAAACCAAATAGCAGAGGTAATAGTACATCTGCTATGGTATCAAAACAAAATTTAGCATGGAAGGTTTAATTTGATGACGAATTGCTTTTGAACGCAAAAAGGTGTTTTAAACTTCCTAATTGCCAACTAGGGCTTCCACAAACTTAAGGATATGCCCCAAACACGTTTTATAGATAGGTTTAAAAGATCTGTTAACGTCAATTTTGTGTCCTGTCTCTATAATATGTTTCGCAATAGAAGAGCTAGGTCTCCTGTTCTCACCATTAATAGGTTCTAAAGATTCCATTTGTTTCTGGAACCATTTAATAATATGCTCTGAAGCCCTTACTTGCAGAGATCAATGGGTCCTCCCTAAGAATGTGTGTCCACACGTACATTGAAATTGGTAAACACAGTGGGATGTAACATCATTTTTTCGCAAGTTCAAAGGGCTTAGATAGATATATTGGCTTTACATTCTCAATTATAATGATATTAGCCGCATAAAATGTCCTTTTAACAGCAGCGTTCAGTCTTTGTCTAGTTATCAAGCTACTTTGATGCCCCATGTAGGATAGCTTGATGCACACGTCTTTCAAGCAAACCAATCTGTTATCAATTCATGCCATCGAGAAAAGCTCAAACTCGCTTCCAACATGAAAAACAAAATTTGTGATTTCTCCATTAACATACTGTATACTTGCTATTCTGCCATTATCTACTGTCATTTACAAGTGTGATATCAATGTTCTAAAATTAGTTCAGTAGGTGATTTCCACAACGTATCAAGTTTGGTAACACGAAATTTATTTAACTGGGCATTTCTGATTTAAGTAACAATGATTGATGACGTATGTATTCATCTCATAAATATGGACAGGAGAGAAGAATTTGCAGAAATTCTCATTTTGTTAAACTATACTACTCAAAACCAAAAATCTAATGACAAACCTTCATCAGAAGTGGTAAAGTACACTGCGAAGGCAATAATAATATTAATTTAACAATCTGCGTGTTTAGTTTATTGAGTGGTTCAGCTAAATACCTAATAACATTATTTTGTTGAGATTACTGGTAGTGGTTTCAAAGTTTTAAAATTTGCTTGCCTCACAATAGAAAACTCAGTGGCTCGTTTGAGGTGAAATTCCTGATTGTGATGGACTGGATTATGCAGCAGGCCATGGAGATGGAGAAGACTTGTATATGTTGGAATAACAGGAAAATTCCATAAGATCTGGACTTCGTGAACGATTAATGTCTAATGTCACATAGATAAATATCTACACGCGATAACCAATAAGTTGGCAGAGGATGCAGGCGGTGAAGGCTGGACTTAAGGTGAATAAAGAGGAGACAGGCGATGAAGATACCTGACCACCAAACACCAACCATCAGTTACTATCAGCGAAAGAGATTCGAACGAGTTCACAACCTCAAATTACCTAGGCAGCATCGTTTCAACTACAAGCGCCATGGATGAGGATATGAAATTCAGGATAGGAAAAGCACAACAGAGGTTGATTGATCTCAAATCAATGTAGAAATCCACTGAACTCAACATAGATAACAAAATTCCGATTTTCGACACTAATGTCAAATCAGTTCCAGAGACTTGGCGTCTGCGTCACCAAAAACATTTCCAATAAGCAGCTGTAGACTGTCATCTACAGGTTGCTTTTGGTGGCTTCAAGCTCAATATCGGATGATCAGAAAGAATGTGAAGCAAAGAAATCTGGGAACGAACCAACCAATCGAAGACCCAACGAATATGCTGAAGGAAACGAAGCTGAATCGGATACATATTGAGGAGGCACTTGAGAAACATTGCGGGCCAGGCCATGGAGTGGAAATTTATTTAGAAACAACGAATTGAGTGTGAATTCGAGGTTGAAATGGAGAAGATTGTGTTTGGAGGAGGGAGTAAGCCAAGAGAGGAACAGGACAAAATGGATGCATGCTACTGTAGCCTTATATTTCAGTCGAAACCCAAAGGAATAATAATTAATAAATAATTAATAATTTGCCTAACGAAAATAGTGCAAGTTGTTTTTGTATTCATACCGGCACTATTAACTCTCAGTTAACTGATATTTCGCGTTCTCATTGGTCAGAAAGAGGGTAATGTACAGTAAATATGATACAGCTTAAAAAACCGAATTCATCACAAGGATGAGACTGGTCACATCTAAGTTCCAGTCAGCTTTCTTATTTTCTAAATACAACAGTCCAATTCTATAAAAACTTGACAATTATCAAAGTATAAATCGATTTTCTTTAGGTAAATTTATATCAGTCATAATAGTTAATACACCGCAAGAATACGTTTGGTTGGACACTAGTTAGTAACTAGTGTAATGTGTCTAGTCCTCTGTTTGCTGCAAACTGTATTCTATTAGTCAGGTTTTCAACGTGGCCGCCATTCTAGGTAGCTGTGAATTGTTGATATTGGAGGCAATCAGCTGAAAGCCTTGAACCTGGGTTTCGTCCTAGAGGACTAGACACATTACACTAGGTACTAACTATTGTCCATTCAAAAGTATCCAATACAGTCCTACAGGAGGTCAATCACAAGCCTTAATACCGCAGTGGTAATGTCTCTGACTGCGTCACTGGGAAATGCAGGTTAAGATCTCAGAAGGGAGATAATTTCCTTCGAGGTCGCAAATATGCCTTGCCAAATAGCATGAAATCTAGGTCCAAGGCTTCCTGCCTATTGTCTTTAACCATCTAAAACCAACATTCCAAGAATGTCACATTCTCAGTGAAAGAATTAACAACATACAGTTGAACTGTTTAATGCATTTTCTGTAGTAAATAGATACTGTCCTCTATGAGATAGACGGTGTGGTTATGGGGAAATATAACTGGACGTAGAGATGAATCCTATCTGAAATTTATCATTGACTTTGAATTCAATATACATCTGTTCAGCATAACATTATATACTCTTGCTGATGACAGAAGAGCTAATGTTACTCTTATCTTAGCTATTGATCTTTGAAAGAAAAATACATTCAGTTGGCATCTCTGAGTACAGTGATCTACTTATATATATATATATATAAATTTGTATTGTGCCTCTGCCTTTCTGTCAGGTAATCCATAATGATTTTGTTTTCATTTTCTCAAACATTGATATTTATCACCTGTCAAGTGATTCCTTATTCGATTGAATGTAACAAATTTCACTGCTTTTAATGATGTTTTTATACGATATTTTTAGCAATTAATGTCAAATATTTGACAAACAGTTTGTATGTTGTATAAAACAATATGCGAATTTCTTTTGTCCTATTTCCAGTTCTTAATGCTTTTTTTGTAAATGAACTCAAAACACTCAATGACATGTAAATGCTTTCCTCCTGTATGTGAAGATATTTTTACTAAGAGGGAGAAAATATCCCTTAAACTATTGACTTATATTGTAGACATTTAATGGGATGAGAAAACCATTCGACTATTACCTGTCTTCGATATCAAGTTACAGAGTAAACGAACTGTTAGATTAGTTGCATGTTATGTTATGGTATAAAAAGGAGATATTGTGTTGACAGCTGTAAGAACATTTTTCATAGTCGTTTAATGTTTTATTCTGATGTATATTCTGCAACTTCGTACCGTTTATATACTTAACCCTTAATCGTAGTATCAT